TCTGCTCTTCACTGCTGTGGTCTCACCTTGAGCACTGTGTGCGTGTTTGGGTGCTGAAGTGTAAGAAGGACTTAAAACTCTTCAAGCGTATTCAAAGGAGGGCTGTGAAGATTGAGATGGGTCTAGAGCAGGCATATCTGGCCTGTAGCCCGCATGCAGTCCAGCTCAGCTCATTCTGTAGCCCTCACCCCCTGCTGCTGCATCATCATGGCGGCAGGTCTGCCCCATTCGAGCAGCCTGGTCTGGCCTAGTTGCAGGGCACAAGCAGGGCACAGTGCAGTGCAGACAAATAATATAGCACTGTGTTTAATTTGTAAGGAAATAGTGTCAGTTTTCAAATATTACAATTTGAAAAGACATTATATGCAGAAACATGCTGCCAAATTCAGTGCACATCAAGGAATGCTTCGTAAAGATGAATTAATGGAACTGAAAAAGGTCTGTTACAAAACATTTTCAAAAAAGTTAAAACTCACATAAACTCTGTTATAAAAGCTAGTCATGTGATAGAAAATCTGCAAAGAAATTAAAACCATTTACTTAGGTGAGTTTGTTAAGAGATGGATAGAAAGCATGGCAGATATAATGTATTATGATAGAAAAAGAAAAAGCAGATTTTTCTAAAATCAGTTTGTCTATGACAAATATTATATGTCCATTTGACTGATTATATTACATTATAATTATATATTATATGTCCATTTGACTATGGACAGATGAAGTGAAGAAATAGAAAAATCTATTGAAAAAGATTTGGAGTGTAAAACTGCTAATTTCAAATTTTATTCTTTGATGATAGATTAAATTACTGATGCTGCAGATATGGCTCTACTCGCTGTTTTTGTTAGAGATATTGATAACAAATATGATATCACTGAAGAAATGAAGAAATGACTTCTTTGATACCACTGAAAGACACAACTAAATCTATTCTTTTGAATGAAGCAGTAAAAAAAAAAAAAAAAAAAGAAAAAATTACAGCAATTTTCTTTGTCAACATATGTGGTCTAGCTACTGATGATGCCCCAGTGGTTGTTGGTAAAAAAAAAGGGACTTGCAAGATTAATAGAAGATGATGCAATTACCTCTGCTAACTCAGATAAAATATCATGGCATCAGGCATCAAGAAAATGTATGTGTAAAAGCTTTAAAAATGAATGCCATGCAAATCTTCAAAGCTGTGAATTTCATAAAGCCCAAGAGACTGAATCATCACCAGTTTTAGGAGTTCCTTAAAAGCATAGATGCTGATTATGGGGTCATTGTTGACTTTTCTGAATGAAGGTGGCTAATTCAGGGTAAAATGCTAAAAGACTTTGCAAAGTGAAATCATATCCTTTCTGGAATCAAAAGGAGAATTTGTTCCAGAATGTGGAGATTAAAAATGGCTCAAAGGTTTAGCATTTTTGCTGAATTTGGCCACTCATTTGAATGAGTTGAACATGTGTCTTCAAAGTGAAAATCAACTTATCTGTACTATGTTTCTGACAATATTAGTGCTTGGAATGAAACTTAAATTATGGCAAGATCAAGTTATGTCAAATAATTTCATGCATTTTGATACACTGCCTAAAACAGTTCTATGAACAGTGAAAAATATGCAGGTGTGCTTTCTATTTTGATAAAGAAGTTTGAGATTAGATTTTCTGATTTCAGGGTTTTTTTTTTTTTTTATATTTGAAAGTCCATTTGGCCAACAAAAACGTATGACTTACAGGTTTTCACATTAAATGCATATTGTTGCCATCGGACATTCAACTTTAAAAAAAGAAAAAAAAAAAAAGATCATGTCTCTTTACCAGACTTGCATAAGCGCTCTCTTACCAAAGAAAAATATCCCTCACTTCACAGTCACACCTTATTCACGTCATTACTTTTTGGCAGTACGTACATTTGTGAGCAATTATTGTCCAGGATGAAGCACAGGAAAAGTAATATTTAATCAAAAATCTGGGATGAACACGTGGAGAAGTCACTAGGAATGGCAACCGCTGCCATTGAACCAATCTGATGCATGAGTTCCACAAAAACAAGGTTAGACATCCAACTAGTTTTATGCCTTTGTTCCTCCCTGTTTTTATGTAAAATTTGTTACTTAAATACATTGAGTTTGTATGCATTTTGTGTGACCCATGGCAATTCCTATTTGCTTGGTATGGCTCAGGCAGGCCAAAAGGTTGGACAGTCATGTTCTATAGGACAGTGGTGTACGATGAGCAGCTAAGTTCAATTGGTTTGTATTGTTAGGTCATACTTGTTTATCTCCATGGTTCCCTTCCAGTCCTGGATAGTCTACTGTTTTATTACTTTGTGGTGTAAGAAAACTTTCTGTGGATAGACTTGAACTGGGATTGCTTCAGTCTCCTGTTCTGTCAATGGGACACAGTTGGACAATCTACACAGTAATATTGTTGACTGTGTGGTAATTGGGTCATAGAATGAATGCTTCTGTGAATGCATTTGCCGACATGCCTAGAAGTGTTTTCTTAGTCTATTGCAAGAACATTTACCCTTACTTCTATTGTTCTTCAAAACATAACATCTATGGGATATCATCCAATAGCTTGTGTCTCATCACTCATACACTCCATTCCCATTAAACATTCTTATGTGAAATTCCAGAGAAAAGTAGGACAAGAATTTGAATCTAGTAGCTGTGTATCCTACTTCAGGATGGAAATCACATTTTGCCATTTCAGTCTTAGTAATAGCTTCCCATTCAAGCTAAAAAAAAAAAGCTGGACATAGACTGAAATTCCACAGTGAGTTCTAGAATGTTAATTCAGATTTTTTCTTTTCATTTATTTCCTTCATTTTTATTTTGACAGAAAATAGAACAAGTGCAATTTGACATGAAGAGTGGTAAATTTCGTAGAAGTTTTGCTGTCTACCTGAATTAGAGATTTTGTGCCATTTAACTGATTTGTTACTGTTTCTTTCTAAGTTCATTGCTTCATTCCCTCGTTCCAGGAAGCAGGAAGTAGGAGCTATGCTTTTTTTTTTTTTTTGGTACCTGATGTATTGCTTTTGAACAATGTATGAAATACTGAGCAGTGTGTTAGTCAAAACTGTCCTGAGCTGATAGTTAAACCATTTTGTGAGGCTAGTGTTTCTGTATTATTTTCTTGTAACAGCTATCAAGCAAATACCTAATAAGCTAATACCTGTTACCTAAGTCATCCTCTGAAACCTGGACTCTAAACTATTTGTTTATCTTGTGATCTCCAGAACCCAGACAGGCAGAATCACAGAGGCAGAGGCACAGAAGGTTAGAGGGAGCCTTTGGTCATCTTCTCATCCAACCCCACTGCTCCATAGGGTCAGCTGGAACAGGTTGCACAGGGTGGTGTTCACTCAGTTATTGAGCATCTCCACAGAAGGTCATTCCACAACCTCGATATGCAGTTTGTTCCAGTGTTGACTGGCCTCACAAGAAAAAAAACGTTTTCTTTTATTCTGATAGAATTTTTTATGTTTTATGTTTTATGTTTCAAACTGTGCCCATTGTCTCTTGTTCTGACAGTAGGCACTAGGGGCTCCATCTTCTTTATGCCTTCTCATTGGCTGTTTATATACCTTGTTCAGCCTGCAAAGGAGATGGTTCCAGACGGATCTTATCAAACTCAGCTCTTTCAACTCATATGAGAGATGCTCCAGTCGCTCAGTACAACTTTGTGGCCCTTTGCTGGACTTGCACCAGTACATCCATATTTTCCAGGGGGCCCAGTAGTGGCCACAGTGCTGACTTCACCAGTGCTGTGCAGAGAGAAAGGATCACTTCCCTTGACCTGCTGACAGTGTTACCCCTAATCTTAGAATCATTTAGGTTTGAAAAGACCTGTAAGATCATTCAGTACAACCATCTTCTCCAAGTCTGTGTCTATACTATGTCCCTAGTGCCTCATCCACACATCTCTTAAATATCTTCAGGGATGAGGACTACACCATTTCCCTGGGCTGCTTTTTCCAATGCCTAAGCACCCAATCTGTGGAGAAATTCTCTCTAATAACCAATCTAAACTTCCCCACACACAACTTGAGGTCATTGCCTTGCATCCTGTCACTTGTCAACTGAGAAAGGAGAGCACCAACCTACTTGGAGCAGCCTTCTTTCAAGTAGTTTTAGAGAGTGATAAGATCTCCCCTCCAACCTCCTCTTCCACACTAAACAGCCCCAGTTCCCTCAGTCATTCCTTATAACTTGTTTTTCAGTCCCTTCACCAGCTTTGTTACTCTTCTCTGCACAGGGTCAAGCAGCTCAATATCCATCTTTGTAGTGAGGGCCCCAAACTGAGCACAGTATTTGAGGTATAGTTTCACTAGTGCTGAGTACAGAAAGGCAATTACTTGCCTAGTCCTGTTGGCCACACTATTTCTGGTGAAGGCTAGGAGCTGTTGGCCTTTTTAGTCACCTGATACCTTATGTTCAGATGGGTGTTGACCAGCAGCTCCAGATCTTTTTTTACTAGGCAGCTTTCTGCCCCTGTTTGGGATTGTTATGACCAGTGTAGCACACAGCATTTAGCCTTCTTGAATACCATACAATTGGACATAGCTCATTGATCTAACCTATCTAGGTCGCTCAGCAAAGTATTCTTATCACTGAGCAGATCAGCAGTCCTGCCAAACTTCGTGTCATCTGTAAACACAGCCCTCAGTGCTGTAGGACACCTTTGTGATGAGGGTACATAGATGACTCAAGCTCAGCTAGTCAAACAAAACAGCATTAAGCTATTTCTGAAAAAGGGATAACATATGCTTTAGTCTTTGTTTCACCGTGATTAAACTTTTTTTTCATCCTTTACTTCTTGTTTTTACTGTTATGTTCCTGTTCATGCTACAATCTCTTACTACATTAGTTTTTATCTTATTTCAAAGAGTGTTTATGTGGATATGAAAGTGCAAATAATATTCCATTCCATTCAGAAGATCATAATTTTATTCTAGGGCTTCATGCTTTCACAAATACTTGTTTTGAAACTGAAACTGAAACTGAAGATAGATGGAGGTAATTCTTTTGAGTGACTATTTCACCTTTCCTGTGTCATTTACCCTGTAATACAATTTGAATATCTTTATTAAGAAACAAAAGTTTGTCTCCCTTGTAAAAAACTGGTTGGACAGCTGGGCTCAGAGAGTTATACTGAATAGAGTTAAATCCAGTGGGCAACTGGTCACTAGTGGTGTTCTTCAGGGTTCAATATTGGTGACACTCCTGTTTAGTATCTTTATTGATGATTTGTTCAAGGGGATTGAGTGCACCCTCAGTAAGGCTGCAGATGACACCAAGTTGGGAGGATGTGTTGATCTGCTTGTAGGAAGTGTTCTACAGAGGGATCTGGATAGGCTATATTGATAAGCTGATGCCAGTTGTATGAGCTTTAACAAGATCAAGTGCGAAGTCCTGCACTTTGATTACAGTAACCCCATGCATCACTACAGGTTTGGGGCACAGTTACTGGAAAACTGCAGGGAAGAAAATTATCTGGGGGGGTTAGTTGAAAGACAGCTGAGCATGAGCTAGCAGTGTGCCCAGATGGCCAAGAAGGCCAGTGGTGTCCCACCTTCTATGAGAATTACCATAGCCACTGGGACTAGGGAAGACTAGGGGACTGGGACATCCTCTTGTACTTTGCACTGGTAAGGCTGCACGTTGAGTACAGTGTACAGTTGTGCCCCACACTACAAGAAGGAGCTGGAGTGCGTCCAAAGAAAGGCAATGAAGTGCATGAAGGGTCTGGAATGAGGAATGTCTGAGGGAACTGTGATTGTTCTGGAGAAGAGGAGGTTCAGTGGAAACCTTATTGCTCTCTACTACCTGAAAGGAGGTTGTAGCAAGATGGGAGTTGATCTTTTCTGCCAGGTAACTAGGACTAGAGGAAATCACAGAATCACAGAATTGCAGGGGCTTGAAGGGATCTCTAGAGATCATTTAGTTGAACCCCTCTGCAAAACAGGTCCCTTACAGCAGGCTGCACAGGTAGGCAGGTCTTGAATGTCTCCTGAGAAGGAGAATCCACAACCTCCCTGGGCAGCCTGTTCCAATGCTCTGTCACCCTTACTGTGAACAAGTTCCTGTGTATATTGGTGTGCAGCTTCCTTTGTTCCAGTTTATGGTCATTTCCCCTTGTCCTATCTCTACAGACCGCTGAGAAGAGGCTGGCCATGTCTTTTTGACTCCCACTGTTAAGATAGTTACACACAATAATCAGATCCCCTCTGTGTCTTCTTTTCTCAAGGCTGAACACACCCAATTTGCTCAACCTTTCCTCATAGGAGAAATACTGCAGGCCCTTTATCATCTTTGTGGCCCTCTGCTGGACTCTCTCCAGGAGATCCTTGTCTTTTTTGTACTAGGGAGCCCAGAACTGGATGCAATACTCAGGTGATGTCCTCAAGTTGCACCAGGGGAGGTTTGCGTTGGATATTAGGAAGAAAACAATTTCAGAAAGAGTGGACGGATGTTGATTGGAACAGACTATCTGGTGAAGTGGTGGGATCTCCATCCCTTGGAGGTGCTCAGGAAACATATAGTTGCGGCACTGAAGGACACAGTTTAGGGGGCATGGTGTTGATGGTGTTGAAGACTATTGGACTTGTAGTCTTTTCCAACCTTAATGATTCTGTGATTCCTCTATACTGATAAATACTCTTTTTTTTTTTTTTTTTTTTTTTTTTCATTAATTTAGCAGCAGTTAATCAATACTAGACTGCATCATTGTTTACCTCGTTATATCTGACATGTGTATAGTCAATTCCAAAAAGATGAATTTCTGAAAGAATTCCTTTTGGCCAAGTCTAATGTATTCCTACTCAACTGTTTTAACTGGAACAGCTTGTTACTTTTCACCTGTATTTCACTTAGTGTTAGGTTGTTTTGCATTTAATGGTATTATAGAATTGTAGAATGTCTTGGGTTTGAAGAGACTTTAAAATGATGTATTTCCAACCCCCTTGCATGGTGGGGTTTGTGGGATTCTCCTGAAAAGGTGTGCTGAAGGGAAAGACTTAATTAGGTGAAGACCAGTCAAAGGTCTGATAGCAGTTTTTTGCATAATTATCTTGTTTGCCATCTTGGTGCATAGCCTATGGCAGTTGTGTTGCTGAGAGAACCGATAAACCCGACTGCCCCCCTTGATCATGATCTGAACTGATGTCAAGAGCCTGACCCAGCAACTTCTGGCTGAATGTAGTGCCACACTGTTGTCATGTTGTTTCACGTCAAGCCGGTGCTGCACCAAGCCAAAACCGTATGACAGCACTCACAGATATGGTTCCATGGCTCTAGGCGTAAAAGAAGTGTAACCAACTCTTGCAGGACCCAGGGGAGGCCTTGCTCTTTCATGAAGTGGGCTACACATAGCTTATGAGACTAACCTCACACTGCAGAAGCAGCATGCACTGTAGCAATTAAGTAACAATATCAGCAGAGACCAGATGCCAGCAGAGTAGGGACCACTATTGAGTGGGATCTCCTCTCATCTGAACTGAGACCTTCACACTACATGCACCAATGTCTGAACTGACCATCAAACATCAGGTCATACTACTCTCCCTAGCAGTATTTAGAAATCTCCCTTCTTGCCAGGGGATATTGGTTATGGCCCTCTCTCAAGGAATTCAGTCAAATACCATGCCTTGACAGACTCCTTTACCTGGCAATTCACGGAGTGTGGCATATACTTTCAGAGTTTCCGTGAGTTATCTAATGGTTTGGTGGGGAGCTAGGAGTGCACATCACATTCAGCACGCACTCTTGCCCTTTAGCAAGTTGTATACTTTGCTAAGACCATTTGTTTGTTAGTATATGTTTGGAATTGTTACCTGTTGAGCATTTGCTAACTGAGATTGTAATTGCTTAAGGACATTGTATTAAATAAATGTACAGTTAACCACCTGACTTGTGGTCAGTGAAGTGTGTTAACTGAATTCTGTGCAACCCCGCTGTTTGTAAGGCGGGGAACAGTGCGCAATAGAAAATCTGCACGACACTGCTGAATATGGTGGATGACAGAGTTGCAAACAACTTTTGCCTGTATTATGTAAGCATGGACAAAATGGTGTTGCAAAGATACATTTAGATTAAATTCACACTATTCTCTTTTCATTAGCTAACAAAATTCATTATCAATCTGTTCATAATTTGTAGCAAAAGCTTTTTGATAGCACAGGTATCTCAGTTTATTATTATTATTTTTAATTTTTTTCTTCTGCATGATATTCCTATTTCTCTGAGTTGGAGAATCTGTTTAGCTATGAAAATGACAAAGCATATGCATGTATTTCAGCCTTTGAGTTTTTTTTGTTTTGTTTTGTTTTTGCATTTCATTTTTTGTTTTGATATAGTTCTGGAATATTTAACTTGAAAGTACCCAGTATTTCCTCAACAGAGTTCAAATTTTTTAACTTAGTGGCAAGAAGGAATAGAAGTTAACTTAATGGCTTGTGTTTTGTGGAAACCTCACTCTACCTCTCTCCTTGTGTCTTTTTTCAGTTTTCCTTTTTTGGGGTTACATTCAGCACCATCTGCCAGCTTGTGACTTCTCATCACTGGTCATTTCTAGCCCTGCATGCCATCAGTAAAATACATAGGTTTTGTTTCCTGTATTAAATAACTTCTTCCTTCAGTATTGTTCTTTCACTTCAAGAGAGGTCTTTATCAAAGCTATGTAGGAAGTGTACAGCTGTGATAGGCAATGTGTATGTGTTCATGTCAATTAATTAACTTTCTCTTTTTAGAGTTGAAAGCTCTAAATTGCAGTTTTTGTAATAATTCATTCTCATCTAAAAGGAAAGAGAAGACTATATGAATCACATCTTAAAACTAAAACATGGAGTTGTTATGAAAATTAGCTATAAAATAAATAGGAAAATAATTATTTCTTATATCTGCAGGAATTGAATAGTTGCATATACTCACAGATATTAAGAGTAGTTCTGGTAGAAGGAGAAAATAATGTAACGTTGACCCACAATGAAGCCTAAAATTGTGAGTTAATTTGGAGTTGGGTACTGTATGAAGGGAGACTATGATGAATTGCTTTGAACTTCATTAAGTCTTCAGCAGTAAATTGTCTGAAAGCCCACTTCAGTAGTGGCTCGTAATCTGTCCATTAGCAGTGTAAGTTTTTTAGCTTACAAAATGTTTTTAGAGCAGTTTAGTTCAGTGACTGAATCACTGGTCCTGTTTGTGACAGAAAATGTGGTATGTTTCTTTTATAGTGCCTTATAACTTGGTCTTCCCACGGGATAGAAATCATGCTTTACAGTTGTTTTGAAGTCTTGACAGCTATGTTGTAGTCTGTGGATGTTGTATTTTCTTATGCAAACTGATTTCTAGTAATAATTATTTGTTTCTTGCCTTTCCAGTATCTTTGAGGATGAAGGAATGAAACTACGACAGCTGAAACTAGAGAATCAAGTAAGTGGTTGTGCATAAGCTGGCAAAAATAAATGTGAGGAAAACAAACATTAGTCATCTTATTTTAGAAAGCGAAGCTAAAGACCTTGTTTTCTCTTCTTCTCCCTTCTTCTCACTTCCCACTTTTTCTCTTGATCACCTGGCCTGTTGTCATTTACTTTGTAATTTGTTGCTCAGAACTACATAAGGTAAATAGCAACCATGAGTCTAGGCCACATTGTTCAGTTTCTGTTGTGATATGCAAGGCTGCAGATGAAGTCATAGTGTCATAGAGGCTTGAGAACTGGATGTGAAGTGATTAAAAATGGTCTGAAGAATAAAAGCAGAACTGATTGCTAACATTTTTCAATAAAGTTCTGCCTGACTTCTATTAAATAGCTTGCATGGCTTGTAGGTTTGATTTCTTTTATGCATTTATTTTTTGCACATCTTACTCATTTCATTGGGATTGAATCACTACAAGGCAGGAATGAATAATGAGGTTGGAAGACTGTAAGTAATTAGCATTTTGAGTCTCAAAATAAAAGGTTCCCTGAGCAACCAAAAGATGTGTAATACTGTTTTTGAAAAAGATATCCGGTTTCTTTCTACTTACTGTTATTTTTGTCCCCTGCAAACCGAACAAAAAATGAAAAGAAAATAAAACAACACATTTGCAGCCAAGCATTTATTTAATATTAGATTTTGTCTCTTTTTTTAAAGCAGCTGGGTGCTATTTGCTGGATGCTAAGATCTCTTGCTCATCAAATCAATAAAGTATACATCGTTTGAAATTTCAAGTGCTTACCTAAAAGTTAGAAGTTGTGAGATTGTTATAATTATTCAGCTGTCCATTTCACATGAAACGGAATTCACTGTATTATGTTATAGATTGAATTCATCAAGGTAGAACATAAAGTTGTGTTGAACTTACATTTTTTAGAAATTCTGTCTCATCTGAGGATCTTTAAGTCAAGACATAACACTTTTCAGGGAACTAATGCATCAGTTAATAGCCCTCTTTCTCAAAACTTGTTATTTCTAATTTGAGTTTATATAGCTTTGAATCCAGACAGATTCATTATTGACTTGACCTCCATTTACGTATGGACACTTATCTAACACACTTCAGAGTTGGGGAGTTAAAAATATCCTTGGTTGTATCTGTAAAAGCTACCTGTAAAGCTTCTAATAACACATGTTGTAAAGAGAAAACAGTAAGATAATGAAAAGCTTTAGCTTGAGAAAAAGGTCTTGGAAGTAATTTGTAAAGGAGAACGTAGTGCTAAATGCCATTTAATAACAAGTTCCCATAAGAAGGATGATCTGACTACTTGTTGACAAACCTTGATGTCCGTTTCAGGACTGTTGGCTTGGGGTATGAGCCAGTAGCAACAAGTGGCTCTTATTGCTAGGCACTGTGGTCAATGTATGCCAGTTTGAGATATTGTCATGGAGATGCATCACTGTTCCAACAAAACAAAGCTGCTGGGCTGGATGGAATTCACAGAATCACAGAATTCCTTTGGAGCAACTGCCAGTTAAGCAACTGAGAGGTAAATTTATAGAGTTCATATACTTCTGCAATTTGATTCAGGGTTCAGAGTTTTCTGTGGTACTGTTTTTTTTTGTTTGTTTGTTTGTTTGTTTGTTTTCCCTTTTTTTTTTAAATTTGATCAAGATTGCAAGCATCAACGAAGCTGACAACTAGAAACTTCCATTAAAATATATTTTAACACCCCAGTTCCACTGTAGGTTGGTGATATTTGGTAAGAAATGCTAACAGTCTCTTATTTAGGATTGTATATTTAAGTTTGAATGTTAACTTTGAAAGTCTGCCTTCTCTTTTACACCAGTAGTACCATTCTTTCTGAAGCAGTAAAGGTCAATAGCAGATCACAGTTAGACATAATGGATTCATTACTGTTTGTAGCAGATGTCACGCTTAAGCAATTTTCCTTAACGTTTAGAGGAACTGAGATAAGAATTGCAGAATATTCTTGTGAGATACAGCAGGATTGCGTTTAGCATCTTTGACCACATGGAGAATCTAGAATAAACCTTTGACGTATTAAGGGCATGTGTCTCTCATCCGTCTTTATGATGTATTTTGAACACTATTATTTGTGTTGTTTCTAATGATGCTTGACATCAAGATCTATCTGTGGGTCGTATCTGTCTGCCCCAAAGTTTTTGTCTAGTCAAGTTTTATACTTCGTTTTCCTTGAGAAGAGAGGGGATGACTTCTCAGACGGTGCTTACTTCCTCAGCAGCTCAACCTGTACTGCTGCTAGCTCTCTGTGGATGGAGACAGTAAAAGCTGAAGGCTCATTTCTGACTGCATTTAATATGACATTAGTCTTGACGCTTAAGTTTTGTTAATGCCATCATCACTAGCATTTGTCCCTGCTATCTTATTGTGAACTAAGGAGGAGCTGAAAGAATAGAGGCCATGCCTCAGAAATCCATGCCTTATGGCTTACTAAAGTAGATCACATCAAGTAATAAATAGTATATTGCACCTTCAAGAGGAGTGGTTGAAGCCTTGTTATGTACCATCTTCCTATTCATTGTAGTAGTAGGAAGAGCACCAGACTAGTCTGCTATGGTGTATGCATCTGATGCATCTGGCTTCTTAGGCAGCTTGTTGGAAACTCACTGGAACCAGAGTTGATGGTTTGTGATCATTTAAGCATTTCTTCAATTTTAGTTACACTTTTCTATGGTACTCAATACGTGGAGTTTGCAAAATCCTGGCACCTGTTATTTATTTAATGAGTTAAATGTTCCTGTGCCATGTGATTTTTTGTAATTTTACATGAAATTTTACTGTGACACAGGGCTGGAGAAAAGGATTTGGTTAGTAGACAGAAGCATGTTTTTTTAAACTTGACCTTAGTGGAATGAGTCTAGAGACACACAGTGCTGAAGGTAAGACTGCTTTGCAACCTTGTGTAAAGAGAAAGAGCTGCTACCAACCATCCCATCCATTAGCTTGTAAATTTTCTTCATCTCAATAAGCAAAGTTTTAGAGAGAAACCTTTTTAAATCACTATCAAGTTTCATCACTTTGATTATCTTGAAATTCTTGTGAAAAGGTTTGTCACATCTACCAGCAATAAAGTATATGTTCCAATATGCTTTAAAAAAAATCTAATCTTGTAGAATAATCAATGAAGTAACTTTAAAAATCATTATGTGCTATACTGACTCCAGTTTCAGTTTCCAGTTCTAACAGTTGCTATGTACTTTCTTACTGTTTTTAGGATGTATTTATTTTTCACCTGTCCATTTACTAGGTACAGAAGCCTTGGCAACATTTTTTTTCAAATACTTATTCTATTTTTTTGTAATTTGTCTTTTTCTTTCTCCTTTTATGTTAACTATTAAAGATTTAGAGAATAGAGAAGAACTTTTTCGCTTGGCATTAATTTATCCTAATGTATAATATATCCTTGAAGACTTGCATTCTTCTGGTTGATCTGACTATTCTCCTAGAGAAAAAATATAACTGAATATTTTCTTAGAATTTCAATTTATCTTACTTTTCTCTAGACTGATCTGATAATCTCAGTGCAATTCTATGTATTTTTAGGACGATCCTTGCAAATAATTCTGCAGTACTTAATACTACGTGTGTTGCAGTCTTCAAAGTGTAATCGTGGTTTTTTGCTTATTTAAGTATTTTGGAGGAAAGTAACTGAAAAGCATAAAGAATAAAGAAAAGACCAAGAACTGAATTGTGCTAGAATTTTTAAAAGGAGCAGTTGCGTGTGAAACTGTCGCAAGCAGAGATAAAAAGCCTAGCAGGAAAGGAAAAATCCCATGAGATAGAAGAATCATAACAGGAGAGGAAAGAATTTGAAAATCATTTGTATCTCAAGTGAATTGAGTTATTGGTACTGTTTATCTGATGGATTCTTGCAGACTGAGAAGAATTAGGTGAAGCAAGTTAATTTTTGTCCCAGGAGGAACTGTCAGGGTTTTTTTTCAGTACTAAAGATGCTGTCACGATTAATCTCCATCTGTGGCAAGTGGTCTGCAATCCTTCATCATGCATCATCTTAATTTTTAAGATTTAAGCACGGCTGCCTTTAAAATGATGCAGTGCCTGTATTTGCTTTGAGCTTGGAAGTTTTTCTGTTTACATTTAATAGGAAATCATGAGCATCAAGTGTGTATGGATGATGGAAAAATATTTTGTTTTTAACGCTAACACTTGAATTTCTTTCAATCCTGAATTAAATACAAATATTTTGTAAGGCTGATCAGTTTTTGTGTTACTAAATCAGTCTTATTTTAATGACTGATTTTTTTGTTTCTTTTATTCCTCTGTCTTATCTCTTAACATTAGTTTTTGGGAGCTGTCTCTTCTGAGTGGTATCCTCTTGTGAGTTTGTGGCCTTTGTCACAAAGGCCATGTCCTTTGCAAATCTTGAACTGCTTTTACTGCTGTTATAAATGTTGTGGCAGCATTTATAACTGCAGTGGCAGAGTGAGCGCTGATGAAAGATGATTAGAAATGGTATGCTTATATTAGCTTATGAAAAACTTAACTGCCATGTAATCAACAGGACAGGAGCTTTTATTCTAACACCTATCTAGGTGATAGTTTTTTTTGGTACAAATTGAGTTTTACTGTACAAACTAATGAGGAAAAAATATACATTCTCTGCATGCTTGGGCAGTTGTCCTGGGAGACAAAAAATTTAGTAATTTAATTGTAACTACATTGGAAGGAGTGGAGAGTCCTTGTGAGCTGGTTGGTTTGCTCTGTCAGCCTCAGTATAATGAATGGAGTAATAAAGTTTGCAGAAAATGCTACATGTTATAACATATACTTTATAAAATGTTTCACAGTGGATTCTAAGTGACTACTGAATTTGGCTGTTTATATTAAGGTTTACTGCAATTTTGTCTGGAGAAAAGGAGTTAAAATTATCTGTTGATGGTCTCAGGATAGGTCTCACATCAGTGGAGAGCCAAAAGCAGCGTCTCACTCCAGACACTGTAGTATCTCTGCCCAAGATTTCTGTGAGTGATAACAGGAGCACATTATTTAGGTTGATTGGAAATCCTCATCAGGGGCTGAGGTGCTGGCTCTCTGATTACTTATCCTTATTTCATGCTTTTTCTTTTATTTCACAGAGAGCTCTTCTAGAGAAAAAGCAGAAGAAGAAACGTCTTGAACCCCTGATGGTGCAGCCAAATCCTGAGGCAAAGCTGCACAGGTCAAAGCCCAAAGGATGTGAAGAACAGACTCCTTTAGTAGAAACTCCTACCACTTTCCACAATAATGTTGTGTTACATGGTAAGTACCTGATTGTAACAGTGTTCTGGCAGCATGCCACTGCATGCATTTTATGTCATAGGTGGTTACCTGTGTTGCTGTGACAGTGGTCAAGCCATAAGGTAGACGGATCATAAATCTTCTTATGTACAGCAATAGAACTGCTGTATAATATGACAGAGAAATATTGAAGTGTGTAACAAGTAAAAATCTTATCTTCAATTTTGTGACAGCTGAGAATCTTCATCTGCTTTTGAGTAGTCTCTCCCTTTTGTTAGGTTAAAAAGAACTGTAGAAATGGGTTACGAACTTCTGTATTGGTAGGGAGGTGCAAATCCCTAAGTAAAAGTCAGAGAGTTTCCTGAAGCAGTAGGACAAAGAAAAGAGGATAGTCCTGTGTTGACAGCCTTTACTGTTCTTCATGGTATCATGGTATGCTGTTTTTCAAAATTGGGCATGACTAAATCATAAATAATCAAAACAAAGAGCTTGTGAATACCAGATCAGATTCTGGCTGTTTTTTATCTCTTTTTTTTTCTTCTTTTTTCTTTTTTTTCCTAAGGCCTTCTGGGAGACAACAGAAACATGACAAGCAAGTTATAGGGGTCCAGAAAGGCACAAACATGACATAATCAGGGAGCCAAAGCCTCCCCTGGTCTGAAGACATTACAGTAAAATAGCAGCCATTTTGTTGAGAATGAAAAGAAATGCATTAGTGAGAGCTTTAAAGACTTGCATGTCATAGGATGGAAAAAAGAGTAACAATTAAACCCCTGGATTGTAGCAGAAATGTCAGGAAGTAGTTTATGATAGCTAAGATCCTGTCAGCCTATCAAGAAAGTAATAGCAAATAGGCTTTGAGAGGCATACGAATGCAGAATGTTGTATTGCCACTCTTAGACTAATTGGAAGTTAATTTGTGGGGTAAAATTTGGAATAAACAAACAAACCAGAGTTACCTAGTTGGTAACCTATTACCTAGTTACCTATTTATTTCCATATAAGTTACAACAAATAGGAAGAACACCATAACGCTATTTAATACAGCAAATTCTGAGCTACAAAACATTATTTTTCAGCATACTCACTCCCATTAGCTGTGCATTTTGACCTGCAACGAGCAAGAGCCTGCATTCTGTGCTTGTAAAATTGAAAAATAAAATGAACATTTGCACCAGTGGAGGTAATCTACTGTTGCTGTCACCACTGCTGAAATGCACCACCTGTCACCTCACTGTGCTAACATCCACTGTTCAGACTCCATAAACAGTTAGGAAATGTTGATGAACGTCAATGAGTATGATTTTTTCCACACAGAGAAATTCAGTTCCACACCTTCACTTTTCAAATGCAGTTCCATGTCAGATGCCATTTTGTCAGGCTGTCACACAGCAACATGTGCAACGATAATGGAATATTAATGGGAAGGTTTATTCTCTACTGCAATACCACCAGTGTTTGTCTTTGATGCCATTTGCCAACATAATAAAATAGGGGGCTGCACTTTCAGAGCAGTCCTCATATTATGCCAGACCATGACATCAAGAGATCTCCCCCAATTACAAAGTGCAGTGCATGCTGTGTTACGTGTTTAAACCTGGAAATATAATTTCTACATTTCTACTGAAACTAAGGAAGGCATCAATTTACTCTTTGTTTGGCCTATGCCTTTGGATATTCTTAACAAGTTGATTGGTGATGTTTACTTAGAACACTCATTTAACATCATTACTTGTAAACAATGAGTTTGAAGGTTGGAGCAAGAGAAAAAAATAATTGCCCAAATTACACATAACAACTTGCATGGCAAATACCATACATCTTAATTGCTCTAGCCATTGGAAAAAAAATAAAAGCAATCACCATATTTATAAAAGGGGAAACTGATGTATGTAGCGTTGGAAGTAACGAGATCTGTATCACACTAAGGCCTAGCTTGACAAAAGTTGAATTCAACAAGAATATGTTAATACTTTAAAGCATGCTTAAGTAAGAACGGGTGAAAAGAACAACCATTCTGGAATATATCTTTATCTGTAAAAATGAAACTTTTACAGTTTGTTTCATTTTGGCTTGCAGGCATTGATGGACCAGTTTCTTTCTTGAAATCAGAAGTGCAAGATTTAGGAACCAAACTCCAAACTTTCTCTGTTGGATCTTCCATAACAGCAGAAAATGCAGATGAGGAAAACAATGGACACGCTCTAACAGAAACGTTAGGCAATGCAGATCTGCAAGAAATCTTACAGAAACGAGGTAAGTGTTGATAATGGGCAGATGTGTTTTTTAGGATTCTTCTGCTTGTAATCTTTTTTTTTTTTGTAGCATTAAAAATAGTTAGAAAATTAAGAAACAATGAAACAAGTGTTTGTAGGGCTTTCATTCACAACTAGTAGATTGTACACTATGCAGAAATGCAGATTTGCAGTTTCTTCTTCTGTTATTAACTGGATACAAATGTGCTGTAAAATTATCTGACCTTTTCAAATAAGTTAGTGACACAACTCTGCGTTTCACATTTTGCTAAAATTCAGGGCATTTTAATTCCAGGTATTATGTATATGGATATGATACTTGAATATTTTCATAACAGTAGAACCCTCTTAAACCACTAATGCTTTAATTTAACAGTTGAGAAGTCTAATAAGAGAGATGTTCTTCTTGAGTCAGAGGCTGTATCCCACAGAGTACTTTCCCATGGGAGCGTCCATCTCCGTTGCTGAGTGACTTACATGGCTGTCAGTACTGCAGCAAGGCATTTTGTTGAACATAGCCTAAACAAAATAATTGGTAGTGTTTAATACAGCAGCTTATTTTATTAGAAGAGCTTGTGTCCCAGAATGTTTCCAATATTCTTCATAATTACAACCATGTGTAGGAATAGTTTTATTCAGTTGTCACATCCCACAGCTGTTTACATATGAATAGCAACATCACAGGAGATTTAGGGAAAGAAGCAGGAGAGAATATCCAGAAACTTCAGCAGAAATTAGTGAAGGTAAAACATTGACTGTGAATGATGACATTGACCTGGAGTACTAGGGTTAACACCTTTCCTCTTTTAAGCATGCTTTGAGAAGTTTACAGACAGATCGTTAAGATGTTTTTCTGTTTTATCTGAGATAAAGAATTCCCAGCAGTGCCCCCTATATTAGAACATTATTGTAAAATTGATTCACAGAAAATAATTTGGCTATAGCAGACTAAGCCTATTAATTTTCTATAGTTCATTATGTACTTTTCCATTCTACAGCAAAATTAAAGAGTGGAATCACAGAACCAAACAACGTAACTCTGTGTAGAGAGGAAACACCAAACAGTGATACATACAGATATTTTATTTATCCACATCACCTCTGTGATTAATATTAATAATATTTTAATATTTTAATATTAATATTAATATTAATCTGTGATTAATATTAAATATATTTTGGGACAATCAAATCGGTATTAGTATTTGAGACTTGGTAAGTTATTGCTACTGATGTACTGATGATATAAAACAGAATAAGCTCTAACTAACGAATTGTCATAATCTACTTCAATAACACTAAGAGGAAATTATGAAGAATGTAAACTGTACAGAGTTCAACCTACAGGGTAGGTTTTACCTACCACTATAGAGATGGATTGCCTTTTTTGTTCTTGAACTATGGAGAGGTTGTTGGTTTTTTGCATATAAAAATAAGAAAAATTTAATTCATGATAGCACATTGATTATATAACATATTGCTTGGTAAAATATGTATTAATGAAAGCTTTATCAGCCACAATCTGACAGCTGTAAAATGTTTCTACTGCTGTCAGTTTTATATACATAGTATAATCAGAATTACAATGCTCAGAAAATGATATAGGACAAGAAGAAAATCAGCAATTTGAAAAAAAATTGATAATAGTTACACAAAGATTATATGTGAATTAGTGATGCCACATACTCATGACACTTTGTTTTAGAGGTTATCTGCTTGATTCTCTGTTCTGACAGGAATTTCAGGCAGTTTGAATTTTGATGAGGAGGACACAGAAGAAGAGGAAGAAGTAAGAAAGAGACCAGCATCTCAGTCACCACATCCTGAATCTGAGAGGCTTCGTTCTGCAACTGTCGAGAAATCCTTTGCAGTAGGTGTTTTGAAATGAGTTTCAGATGAGAATTGGGCATGTTATTGATTTTACTACTAACCCCGTTAGCACTGTGTTAAAATACTATTTTGCAGTTATCGTTAATCCTTGAAGTCAAAGGACAGTATTGTCAGATTACCTAACATGTACTTACAAGAACATGTAATTAATAGGAAGACCTGGTAGTCATCAAAGGAACAATGATGGGTGAAGAAACTTGACCCAAGTAACCTAATCAGTGAACAGGGAAACACTCTGAATCACGTGCTCCTGTGATGCTCAAAGAAGAAAGATTAGATCGTTGTCTCTGGTTCAAAATCTGCTAAGATGATTCAGAGAAGCTCTGAAATACCATACAAATTAAGAGAGATTGCTACCTCTATTATAGGTTTCATGGGATGGGATGCAAGGGGGAACAGAATTTTGGGATGGAGTAGGGAAAATTCTGGGATTGTACAAAGCTTACTATGAGGTGCTAGAGAGAGGGACACAAGGGAAGAGGATCAAGTTGAGTCACGAGACAGCAAGCGTAAGAGAACAAGGAGTGAATAGAGAGGATAAAAGACTCCAGGGATCCTGGATCCTGGAAGTCCATGCTAATATTCAAGTGACCCAACTGAGTGTATTTGTGAGAAGGCTGTGTGTATACTGTGCTACATTAGCCAGTGAGTAATACAAGAGATCTAATTGCTAGTAAATCAAAAAACTGAGGTGTGGTTGACAGTTGCTGGAGATGACTTGGAAATTCCTCATGAGGGAATTTCAAGTGAGTCTGTATGTGTACTCACTCAGATTTTATACTATATGAAGCTGCTAATAGGGATAAACAAGCAAACTCATTCATCTCCAAGATGAAGGAGGAATACTCCAAATTTTGCAGTCTACAAGGTTTCACAGAGCATGTTGAGTTGCAGGGGACCTGTAGGGATCACAGATTCCAAGTTCTGGCTCCCCACAGAACCACCCAAAATTCAAACCCTGTGTCTGATTGTCCAAGCAGTCATTGGACAACACTGAATTCTAGCGGCTTGGCACCTTGACCACTACCCTGGGAAGCCTGTTGCATGACCAGGCATCCTCTCAGAGAAGAATCAAACTAAACACCCAACTTCACCCTTCCCTAATGCAGCTCTGTGCCACTCCTTCGGATCCTACAAATGGAAGTTTGGGAGGTGCTGGCCCATGTTTTCCTCTTCTCTTAAGGAAGGGACTGAGAAGCACCCAAATCAGGGCAGTGGGCTCCCTCCCTCCTATCCGAGGGCCCAGGACTCTGGGTTGAGTGAGCTTTCCTCGCTGCCGTGCCCAGCAGCATGGTGAGGCCTGTCCCAGCCCCATGTCATGGCTCTGCTGTTAGCGCTGACACCAGTCGCTAAGCTAGCTTCCTCTAAAAAAATGACTTTAATATCTGATATATTTCTGCTAGAATTCCAGTTTCTTTGATGACCACAGCATGCATCCTAACTGTATATATTATTCAAAGGTATCTCCAGCACTGCCATCTTACTCCATTTCTGCTGCTTTTTTGAACCAGCATAAGCTTAGTGATTTTTTTCAGCCAGAGAACACCAGTCTGTCTTACTGCAGCATCCATCTGGCATATCATGCTGCCTTATTTACCACAGGGTTTGAAATTCTGGAGGCAGAGAAGCTCTTTGTTTAGAATGTTTGCAGTGTCTCAACCTGTTTTCCCATTTCTAGTAATTCACTCTGGATAACAGCTTTATTTTCTCTCCTTCCCTAGGAGAGCTAGAGTAAAAAAGTTCTTATCCACTTTCTTCGGAGAAACACAGACGTTTTATCATTCAACTTTCTTTTCTCAAATATGTTCTTGGGACATCTGTTTCAGCAGACCTTCCTTCTCGTGGGGAATACTGAAATCTCTGGTCTGATGTTGGTTTTCTAATATGAAGGTTTTTCCTGTAGGAAATAGGTGCTTCCTGTAGTCCATCCCCTCAGGCGGTTGCACATCTGGGAGAAGTTGAGAACTTGGAGGAATTTGCATTGTGCCCTGCGCCCCGTGGTATTACAGTCAAGTGTCGAGTCACTAGAGATAAGAAGGGAATGGACCGAGGCCTCTTCCCTACTTATTACATGCATCTGGAAAAGGATAACAACAGAAAGGTATTGAAAGCAGTGTACAGTGTCTTGGCTGTTGTATTCCTAGACATAACATTTTAGTGTAATGAAGAACACTGCATAAATCAATAAGAAACCAGAAGCAGAGGAGAGACATGAGGATGAGGGAAACTTATATCTGGTCAAGACACTAAGGAAAGTGTTTGCAAGCTTAGAAGCCAAAATACAAAGTAAGATGAAATTAAAAAGTTTTAAAATGTCAGGGTTAAAGAAAAGCAGGGAGACTGAGCTGTTCCAGATGAAAAGAGGGAACAACTGGAAAAGACAATTGCCTTTAATCTAGAATGCTGAATGATTTAATTGGAAGAACAGGATTTCAGGTTGTATACTTGTGTGAGAGGTCAAAATCAGCAACACAGTAATAACAGTTCAGAACAAAAGTGGGAATGGATATGGGAAATAGAGAAATAACAGTCTGGATAGCAGTGCCTCTGCATTCTTTCAAAACTCCAGTCTTGATAAAAGTTTTGTATTTCCAGATGTTTCTTCTTGCAGGTAGAAAACGAAAAAAGAGCAAAACGTCCAATTACGTCATATCAGTTGACCCAACTGATTTGTCCCGGGAAGGGGAGAGTTTCATTGGAAAACTCAGGTAAGAACAATCAATAAAAACTGCAGAAAAATTTACATATTCTGCAGTGGGATAGATGGAATTTACATATTTGTTTAGTTAGAGTTATGGATAGCAATCTGCTCTCTATTCAGAGAGAAACAGTTTGTCACTTCTGGCAGTTCTGGCTCAGTGCTTTTCAGGACAGGTTATGTGCCCAGTTTTACAAGGAGCTCTTTACTGAAATTCCTTACTGAGTTGACTGGAGAAAGACTAGGTGACTGGAGATGCCTAACTTTTCTGTCATGCACACATGCTTTTGGAAGATAATAAAAATTTCTACTGATGCCTCTTTCTTTTTGTTTGTCTTTCTATAACCTGACATTAGGTCAAACCTCATGGGAACTAAATTTACAGTCTATGACCATGGAGTAAGCCCAATAAAGGCACAGGGTCAAGTGGAAAAGGCTCATACACGACAAGAACTCGCAGCTATTTATTATGTAAGTAGTGCCTCTTCCCTTTTGCCTCCTTCTAGTTTGTAGGCTGATTACTAAGGAGACAAGACTCCAAAATGATGCTGCCTGCAGCCTCCTCCGTTAAACTTTAGAACTGGTTTCCACCAGGTAAGATAAAGGGCAGAAGCCTCAAATATAATTTCTTATGAGTTTGATTTTTTTTTTTTCATTGATGTCAGAGGGAGACAGACCCAAATTAATGTTGTAACGAGCTTGTTACTTGACCAAAAATTGTTAGACTCCAATCCTGAGGTTTAAGGAAAATCTGAGATACTTCACAAAATCCAATTCAGTCATGTAGAAGTTTTTATCTTTTATCATGGGTACAGTAGCAGAAATTTAAAGGTTCATTAGCCTGAAGCATGATTTTAATTTTTTTTTTGGCTACTGATCTTAGTGGCATGTAGGGGAAAAAATGGACTTGATAATTCCAGTACTAACCTGTTCACAGAAATATCAGCAGATCTTTCCTTTGTATACAGTACCTAACTGTACAGAGCAAGGTTTTAAAATGAGTGTAGCAGATATATCAAGTCAGCTTTTTACATATCAGTACTTTTCATATGAAGTTTTGTGAAGATTATATATGAATAAAATCAGTGTTCTTGTTCTCAATTATGTTCCTAGATCTTTTAAAATGAAATAAGAGAGATTGCAACTCTGAAGAGCTTTATTCTTCATCTGTTAAAATGCACTAGCACATCAGGAGAAGTTGTATCACTTAATTCAGCGATTCTAAAAGATTCTGTCTTAGAAAAGTGCTGACATGGATACAGATCACTTCAGACCACTGGGTTTTGGTTGACATTATTAAATAAGTGGTTTAAGAATACCAAGAAAGACTTCTTTCCTTTGCTTTCTGTTTTAACTCTACATGGAGCAGAATCATGCAGTACTCTGGAAAAATCTATTTGTTTTAAGATTGAGGCTTGAATGGATGATGACTACCTTGCCTTCTAGTTCTATTCTTAATCATTAATCTTAATCAAAGAATAAAAATGAGAGAAAATAGTATGTCTACTCATAAACACAAGTAACGGAACCTAAAGAAAAATGCCAGTCATTCTTTAGGAACATTCTTGTGATATCCAGCTAGCACAGTTATAGCCAGCAAATCTCTGAAAATAACATAAATGTGAATTCAAGTTCAGCTTTGCTGTTTTTCGTTCTGCGTGATGGAGTATATCCATTCCTGAAAATAGTGTCTTTCCTTGTATTTCAGGAAACCAATGTATTAGGATTCAAAGGTCCCAGAAAAATGTCTGTGATCATTCCAGGAATGAATATGAATCATAAGCGAATTCCAGTCCAGCCACAAAATGTGAGTTACGGAGTTAAAACTTTCTCAAGGAAGTGTGGGTGTTACTGACAATCATTCTTGATAGAGAGTGGTTGGTCATGGCTGTGGCTGTTACCGAGTCTAACGGGCAGTAACAATGTTGCTCAAAGGTGATGATTAATTTATTCTTGCCTTTTACGTCACTTGTAAGTTTCTGAATCCTGTTTGTATTCTTATTTGTCTTTTAGGCAGCCTAAATGTTACTTACTTGGCTATTGCAAATGGCTACTCTGTCTTGTTGCTGTTGCAAGTACAACCCCTTTTCATCAAAGGCCCTTAATGTATTTTTCTCACCCTTTATATCTACTGCTTCGTTAGCAAACAAGCATAGTGACTGTTGCCAAGGCTGAAACATAAAGCTGTTCCAAAGTTTTATAATCACAGAATCGTTTGAGTTCCAAGGGACACTTAAATGTCGTCTAGTCCAACTCCCCAGTAATTAAAAGGGACATCTTCATCTAAATCAGGTTGCTCAGAGCCTGGTCCAGTGTGACCTTCACTGTCTCCAGGACTGGGACATCTACCTCCTCTGGGCAACCTGTTCCAATGTTTTACTACCCTCACTGTGAAAGACATTTTCCATATATCCAGTCTAAATTTCCCCCCTTTTAATTTGAGACAATTTCCCTTGTCCTGTCATAACAGACCCTGCTAAACAGACCCCTTCTTTCTTATAGCCCCCTTTTAGATATTGAAAGAGTGCTATCAGGTCTCCCCTGAGCTCTTTCAGCCTGTCCTCATAGTGGAGGTGTTCTTCCTCTGAACACACTCCAACAGGCCCATGTCTGTCCTGTACTGAAGACCTCACATCCGAATGTAGCACTCCAAATAAGGTATCACCAGCTCAGAGTAAAAAGGGGCAGGATCACTTCCCTTGCTCTGCTGACCATGCTTCTTTGGATGCAGCACAAGATATGCTTGGCTTTCTGAGCTTTGAAGGTACATTACTGGCTAATGTCTAGCTTGCCATCCACCAGTGTACCCAAGTCCTTTTTGCTCCACTGTTTTGTTCCCCAGTTTGTATTAGTAGTGCGGATAGTGGGAATTGCCATGATCCAGTTGCAAGACTTTGCACTTAAATTTGTTGAACTTTATGAGGTTCACCTGGGCCCACTTCTGGAACCTGTCAAGGTGTCTCTAGATGATATCTCATCTGTCAGGCATGTTGACCATCCCACAATGCTGAGAAGTTTAACTGTTTTTGTCTTCCTTTGCTGTAGTGTGATGCCTCTGATTAAGTAATATTGCCTGCACATTAAAACAAAAACAAATATCTAAACACAACTTGTTTGTTCCAATTTTTAAAGTTCTTTTTGCACCTTTATAAAAGTAAAATGAAGATGATAATAAGTGCATTAAATAATTATCTTAATCAGAACAAGCTTTACTTTAAGGAAAATGAATTTTTTAGAATAATCTATTTTTTATCTGTTTGCAATACTAAAGCACTTCAGTGCTTTTTCAGCCTGAAAATACTGCTTTCTGATCACTTCCTTCCTGTTAAATAACTTAAACTTCTTGGATTCATTTTCTTGTCAGTTTTAGCTTATATTATTACATTTATGTTATTTGTTGCATAGCTTTTAAAATAAAATCACGTCTTGTGTCTCACTACAGTTTCCAGTTCCTTGTAAGTAATTTTTTCTCAGTCTTACTGTACTATTTTGCCTCCTTTTTGCATCTTTTATTTCTCTGTATGTTTTTCATATCATGCACCTTTTATTAGACAACGTAGGATGACATTTAACCTACTTACATTGTACTTACATCTCCTTCAGCCTTTAGAAACACCTCATGACACACAACACAGCCACGAGGCATATGCATTAACTACATAGTTAATTTTACATTATTTTCTTTTGTTTCAAAGTTTAGAATATTGAAAATAGAAGGTTTACAAATGAACAGAAACCATATAAATCCCAAAAAGGAGGTTCCTGCTAGCAGGATGGCAGTCATCTGTGATGTGTGAATTGCTGTCTTTTCTGTCCACATGCATGCTTTTTGTCTCACTTTTTTTCTTGTTTGGGTAGAGATATGGTAATAGTTTATAGAGTAGAAAGGAGTGCTTGGACAGTATTTTCTTGTTACTTGCAGGATACTTTCAGTAGGACTGAGTTTAAATGCCAGCATTTCATTTAGTAGGAAATGACGCTGAAGTCACAGAATGCACATATGAGAGAGGCAGTGCTCAAAAGCAGAGTCATTCTTAATCTGATAAAATGTTTATTTCTTCTAAATAGGAAAATGAGAGTCTTCTGTCAAAATGGCAAACTAAAAATTTAGAGAACCTCATTGAGTTGCACAACAAGGCTCCAGTCTGGAATGATGATACTCAGTCCTATGTTTTGAATTTCCATGGGAGAGTCACTCAGGCCTCAGTGAAGAACTTCCAGATTGTCCACGACAATGACCGTAAGAGTCTGGTGAAGAGTGGAGGAGGGAGTTATTTAAACAGGAAAAAAACAGTATATTTCATGAGGTTTCAGAGGAATAGAACACTATTCCTGGAGAAGGGAGACTGGGTGAAGGAAGTTAGCTTAGAATTACTGGAGAATTCTGTCGAGAAAATTACAAAAGACCTGACTTTTTTGGGGTGAGTGCAGAGAGGCTGCTTTCAATAGCAGCATGAAAAGGAGAGAGAGGAACTGCAAGTCTCTTGCAGGGGAAAGAAAGAGTTAACATCACACTTTCAATGCAGTGTGAGAGTGGTTTGAGCCTTGGTTCTTAGAAGGAAGGTAATCTGTAGAATGCTAGTCACTACAGTCAACAGATTTTAAAGCCAGTTTGGTGAGAAAGATGGATACACCAACTGCGTATGTTTGGGACTGATAGACACTTTTAAACTTCTTTTTGTTTATTTTCTTTGCTTACCTCTAAAAATTGCTGGTCTCTGTTTTTTTTTTTTTCTCCCCAGCTGACTACATTGTGATGCAATTTGGTCGTGTAGCAGAAGACGTTTTCACTCTGGACTATAACTATCCTCTCTGTGCTCTTCAGGCTTTTGCTATTGGACTCTCCAGCTTTGATAGTAAATTGGCCTGTGAATGAGAAACAGCAGACTTGAGACATAGAACTCACTCCCGCCTCTGTATCTTGTTAGAATTCCAGGTGAAGTAATGAAAAGCACATTGGGGGTGGAAGGATACTGGAAGACAAACTTTTGTGAGCTTATTGGAAAGTAAACAGCAATCCTGAGAGCATTTTGGTATTTAACAGTTGACCATCTTAGGAGACTATCTCAAGACTGAGTGGTCTCTGTACACTTTGTGGAAGAGCAAGGAACACAGATGATGTTTTTGTTGTCAGGATTGATTTTGCTTTCAGAATCTTTGCATCAGCTGCTGCTTGAGGAGGCAAAGGAATTTGTTTCACTAGTTGGAACCCATTGCAGCTAGAATTAGAAAAATAATGGTTTAGTGTTCGCATACCTTGAATCTTCAGCAATGCCCATGGAGATGATGCTACTGATATTACTTTGAGTTTCTGGTGAGATTAATTAAGAAAAAAGGAGAGTAGTTATGGCATATATTCTGTCTTACCCTGTGCAGCATTTTGCAGCCTGTTAACAACAGTGAAAGGGAAAAGGATTCATGTTAAGCCTACATGCAACTGTAGGTAGTGGTCAACAAACGCAGAAGTGGACTGAGACGCTGGCTCTAATGAAAGATGTTTCTCTTATTTTGCAGAATGAATCTCTGTTAAACCTGATAGTCCATTTCCCTTTCATTATCCTAATTGCTCCATGTCCCTTGATATACTTTTTAGCAAATGAAGAATCACTCCTTTTTAATTTGGCAAAATTATATCCATTGGCGTATCTCTTATTTTGAACTATGTGAAATATAAGATTGAATAGACGATGGAACATGACTTTGACTGAAAGTAATATTGTACTGCTCCTGAAAAGCACTGTTTGGACTGAACATCTGAATCTAGACCTTATGGTGATCAGAAATACTTTTTAACTTGTCCTTTATTTGTAAAATTTTCTACATTTTTAGGAACGAGCGAGATGTAACTCATTTCAATTTTTTTTGTTCAATGTGAGATTATCTCAAGTTAGGACACAGTTGTAGGTTTCATGTAAATAATTTGAATCTGCCTGTAAGAGTAAGATGCCTCAAGAGGAGATTACTGATGTTTTCAAAGGCATCAGTTGAGTTTAAAAAAAAAAAAAAAAAAAGTATCACGGGGCTGTATAATGTTTCTTTCCCATGTTCCCATTTAAATGCTAGATTGTACAATTTGGAGACTATAGGTTACAACATTGATTCATACGGCTTTGATTTATCAGTGAATCGCTACACGCTGACATGCGAGCCTCAGTGCACACATCTGCTGTGCACTAAAGCAGAACAGCTAGTAACTTGCCACTTCCATGGCTACTATGCATATCCACGATGAGTCTGGAAAACTGTATCTTCCATTAAGACAAGAAATAGCTTTCTTCAGTTTTACATGTTACTATTATCAGCAGACGCGCTCTATTTCATGCTCCTAAGAAGCAGGCTTACTGTTTTTGGTCTTCAGAGTCTTTGCAGGTAGTTATCACTTGCTCTTTCAAAATAGAAACAGAAGATGACTTAACAGGGTTTAATTGCCCAGGAAAAACAAACAAACAAACAAAAAAACAACAAATAACAGTAATCATTTGTAAACTTTGTATTTAGTTGTAAATTATAAACTGTTGCTGGGAGGACCAACTCTACAAAATGCTGGAAGCCCAATCTTAAAAACCCACTCTGTGTTAGCTGGAGAGCCATTGTATTCAGAGAGATCTCATCAGCACATCAGTCAGTGAAGAGAACTGATACCATGAATATCCTTGGTGCCTTCATGTACTTCCTGCTCATCAGGCCAGAGACAAGATCTGGCAGTGTTCTCAAGTTATGTTCGGCTGAGTTCTTTGACTGGTGGTTCTGCCTCACTTTTACTCATTCAGAAATACTAAGAAGTCTGATAGTAATCTGATTATTTTTTTTCTGATTAGGACAATATGAAAGAAACTGCACTGTGTTAGTTTGATGTGACTTGAAGGTGTTGAAGGTTGAATGCTGATTTCCAATTCAAGATGATTTTACTCTGTTCTCAAAAAGTCATGGTAGCATTGCTTGACAATTACGCTAATTAGCAGTGGATCTTCAAGTTGATGTCAGATCATCTTCACTGGGCCAAAGTCTCAGACGCTTGGTCAACTTCTGTGGACAGATTAACTGCATAAGTACTTTTTTATCAGATACTGTTTTACATCAATTGTATTTATAATTTTTATATCTCAATGCAAATAAATAATTTATATATTGGAAAACTCAATAATTCTAAACAAGATTTTTTGTTTTCTTTCTGCTACAATTTTGTCACTTGTGGCTGTTACTTGTTCCTCCTGTACTAGTTACTTCCTCTGTTTCTTCCTGTCTGCTCGTATCTTACTCTCTTCTTTTATACACCTTTTCCTTTGTTATTCTCAGTTCTGTTCTGTTGTGATGTTTTCTTCATACACTTAGAAGCCTAGGAATAAATGTAAGGTTATTGTCTATTAATGTCTTTGTTTTTTTTCCCAAAGCAAGGTTTCTGCTATAGTTTGTGGTTCTCATTTGATTATTTTTTTGAGCTGCTTGCACTTCTTAGTTTCATGTTTTTAATGCTTACCTCAGTCTCAAGATAGTGGTTTTGAGACGGTTTGTTATACATTTTCCTATCCTCCATCTGAACCTGTTCTGCTACTGAAGTACAGTACGGTGTATTTCTGAATCAAGAGCTAAGATGGTTAGGGGGAACACAAAGTTGAAATGGTGATTTTTTGTTACTATCAGCAAAATATCTGCTTTATACTTACTGTGCTGCTCTACATTCTGATATCTGTAAATCTCTCAGTTACCACTGAAATTAGTATCTTACTCCTGTTAAAGAAGGCAAGAAAAACCGTTCCCCTGGTTTGCAAATCAAGAGCTGATTACTGTAACCACTGTTAGTTTTGAACTCTTGATCTCTTGAACTTCATGGTCTGCTGAATTCTGGTCGTAGCATGTTTTGTGTGGAATTATTCTTTGCTGAAAGCAAATTCAGAAGCAAGCTAACTTCACCAAAACAATTAAGGTAAATGTTATTATAACTGTAACCTGCTCTGTAAATATTTAAACTGAAAATACATGAACAAGTGAACATATTCTAGAGGATGGGAATGGGTGATCATCTCTTAATTAACATTTTCAAAGGAGAGAAGCCATTGCGCCATCTGCAACAAATCAAAATAAATGATGAAGAAAACAGAGGATTCACCTTTTATGCTTCGTTGAATAGAGCCCTTCATTAAGGGGAATATAATAGTACTTCACTGTGAAATGTGACTTTGTTTTAAAAGTTAGATATCAAAATCATTTGGAAAAGAAATGCAGAGGAGAGGGGAATTGGTCTTGTCAGGGTATCCAGCTCCCTCTGCTCTCTGACCTAAGCGAAGTTATTTGCTTCAGTGTCAGCAACAACAGCAACAAAAATAAAAAATAAAAAAATAAAAAAAACGCAGCCACAAATAAGCAAAAAAACACCTCAGTTATCCTTGAGTGAGTTGCCATATATGATTAAGTGGAATCACAGAATCACAGAATTGTAGGGGTTGGAAGGGACCTCCAGAGATCATCGAGTCCAACCCCCCTGCCAAAGCAGGTTCCCTACACCAGGTCGCACAGGTAGGCATCCAGGCAGGTCTTGAACATCTCCAGAGAAGGAGACTCCACCACCTCCCTGGGCAGCCTGTTCCAGTGCTCCATCACCTCACTGTAAAGAAGTTCTTGTGCACATTTGTGCAGAACTTCCTGTGCTGCTGTTTCTGGCCGTTTCCCCTTGTCCTGTCTCCACTGACCACTGAAGAGTCCAGCCCCTCGCGCCTTAGATATTTATAGATCTGGATCATGAGCTCTCCATCTGTTATTCACAAATCTAGTAAGCAGTTGCCCCTTGAACTACCAGCCTCTAGTTTTACTGAAAACCGATCGCTCATGGAGGGTCTGATTTTGGACACCATGAATGACAGTTTGAGCAAAATCCTTTTAGATATCAGCTTTCCTGGTCTTGAGGATGAAAACTTAGGAACAGACATTAGTTGGTCTCAGCTTATACCTGAACTGAAGTAAACTGTCCGGAAGACTGAATTTGGCTTATTTGGATTTTACAGAAAGCACTCCTGAGATCTATTAACGTAATGAAAAGCAGACAGTCTTTTTAGACAATTCCTTCATTTGTGGGAGTACTGACTCCTGCTAAGCTGGGAAATGAGCCGGTTGGCTGCTATGAGCTGCCTGTTTGAGCTGCAATGGACTATTTATGTGCGTCAAGATAGAACCTCTCTAATCTGATGCTAGAGTGGAGTCCCTGGAGAGGGGTTAGCATCTAGATAGGCCCTGGACAGCCCTGGCTAATCGAGGTATGAGAGGAAACGGGTACACTCCTCAATTATGTCCAGTAGGAAAGGCTCTGAGCACTTCCTCCTTCTCTGTCCTTACTTAATTTTACTTTGTTCCCATCTTATTAGCATCTTCTGTGTAGGTTTAATGGCTTTAAGCCCTGTACATGCCTTAAATTACTAGCTCTTTATTACAATGGTAACTTTATTCTTGTAGCATTGTTAGGGGAATATTTGAGTTGGCAAATGATTTAGCTTAGCTTTGTCCATATGTTCCACCTGCCCTGTATTCCTCTAGGTGAGAGCCCAAACTACCATTTTCTTTTAATCCAAAAACACATTGGCCTTGAAAGTAGCCAAGGCAGAAATCTGAAGAATCATCTATATGTGACTGAGTGCCTACCCAAGCTAAACAGAAAAAAAATGGTTAACTGAATTGCAGCATGAAATCTTGGTTCATTTTTCCTTCTCAGCTCTCCTTCCCTTCCCAGGCTGGAATGGAGAAGAGCTGTAACTCTTTGGGTTCTATCGTCCTATTAATATGTACATAGAGGGCTTGGTGGAGTCACAGTTGCAATAAGATGGATTTCTACGGAGTGGTTAAAGCAGCTTTCATTTCAGACATCAGCTGAAAACGTGAAACAGAACTTGTAAAGTGAATACTGGTATTTTCACTGGCAATTGACCTCTGGGAATGAAAGGTATGTTTCTCCCATTGCAATAGAGCTACTTTTCCCACTTCTTTAGACCTCATGTCAAGAGAGGAAATGGCCATGGAAAGAGCTAATCCTTCTGCTTCCAGACAAATGATGAGTCATGCATCTACATACTCAATAAAGTTTTTGCAGGGGTGCAGCTGAGTATCATCTTTACTGCAGCCACTTCTAGCAAGGTGCTTTGGCTGGACCAGAGTATGAACAAATGCTTTTGCTTGCCTTGCCATGGGCTTTAGCCTTGGATCTTAATTCTGGGGAAAGAGACAGGTTGCTGTGGGAGGGGAGAGTATCAATGTGTTGATACTCCCTTGATGATGTGTTTAGTACAAGTCTGCATTTCTAAGAACCACTGCATACAGGGGTGCTGCTTTGTGCGAAAGGGCTGTTGATAAACTAGTTTCAGTAGCAGGCCAAGCAACCACAGCCACGATCTAGGCAAACTTCAACTTGTGTGTCACTACTTACAAGACATCAGCAGACACACCTTGCCTCAGAATTTTCTCCAAATCTTAGCGATCTTTCTTGGTATGGTGCCAATGACAGTCCCTGAAAGTCTCTTACTGCCTGATGGGGGTAAGTTATGCTGAAATTTTCTGTTACCTCAGGCAACAGAATCTCTTGGAATCTCGTTATCCTACCTGAAGCACTGAGGATAGGAATGAAATTCCTTTAAGCAGTCATAGAGCTTGAAAAGCTATAAGAAATTAAAAAGGAATAGAGAGGCCAAGCATTTACTTTAGGCTTTTCACCCACAGCTGTATCACAAGAAGCTCCGCTAGAGATGCAGAGGGAAAGTGCGTGAAGTTGAATCCTCTGTTTTGGAATTCAGGATTTGTCTACTGCATGTGTGATCTCTGGTCTGTCTTACGCAATGATCTGGTACAAAACACAGAGCAAATCCACTTCTGGTGGACTGGAGAACTACAGACTCAGATGCTGTGGGCCAATGTAATAAGATAGGAGGCATTACTTTTGGAGCAGCCTGTGTGTGTGTGTCTAGGAAATGATGCGCAGTGCAGTTGCTCACCACCTGCTGACTGATGCCCAGCCAGTCACCTGAGTAATGGCAGGTGACGATCACAGCCGAAACCAGGACAATATCCACTCTTATTCCACACCGTTTACATCATGCTTTCGGGTGCCGCACTTGCCAAAGTACCCTGGTTAATCACCACCACCCTTGCTCGGTTCCACCAAGGTTCATCCTTTGTTAATCTGTGTAACTTACAGGAGTAATATTGATACAGCAACCACACTGGTGATGACATACGGTATTATATAGCAATTAACACATGAAGGCCTCTTCAAAAGTAACGCCCCCTACTTTATTACGTTGGCCCATAATGTCTAAGGCAGATGTTGGTGGCATGGCAGTGGAGGCTGAACCTTCCCGCTAATATTCCGTTTCATTTTGTTGCTGTGTGACAGATGACAGCTTAGGGGCAGTCTGGCAAAATGGCATCAGATATGCAAGCGCGTATGAAGCAAAGACGTGGAATTGAATTTCTCCATGCAGAAGAAATTGCATCTGATGACATTCATCGACGCTTCCTGAGCATTTATAAATAACAGATAGTGGATGTTAGTGCAGTGAAGAGGGGGGGGGGCGGTGCATTTCAGCGGCGATGGCAACAGTGGATCACCTCTGCTGGTGCAGATTTTTACAAGTGCAGCACTCTCGTTCGTGGCTGGCAAAGATGCATGGCTAATGGTGGTGACTATGTTGAAAAATACTGTTCTGTAGCTCTGTCACACGTTGGGCTCTCCGTGTCTGTTGTAGTTTCCATGGAAATAAATAGGAGGCACTACCACTGTGTGTTCTCCCCCCAGAATCAACCCCCCCGAGGCACACATCAGAATTCCCCATCCTACCATGTTACCCACAACATCCACCCCAGTCCTTGAGCAAAGTAGTCCCATGGATAGGCTTGCCCAAAACAGGAATAACTCGGATTATTTTCCCCAGCATGCTCTTTATCATGTGCACTGGGGGAACTTGATCTGTTTCTACAGCACATAGGGGTTCTGATTAGGCAGTGCCAGCTCAATTGGCAGATCCTCTAGTGTTAACTAACAAAGTGGCCTTTGCTAAATGTGTACCTTAACACTCCCAAAGTGTCCCAGTACCCATTGCTCCCAGAGTAGTCTTTCACAGTCCGTTGTATCATTCAGTTTTTTCCATGGGCTGGTGTGATAGGATGTCAACGGTTTACAGGCTGGTTTGGCCCGGTTCCATGAGTAGTGAGGCAGGGGGACCTATGCCGCAGGGAAGGGAAAAGGGAAAAGGGTAGAGAGATGGGCCTAAAAAAAAAGCAGCGGCAACAACCTGAGGAGAAAGACGCTCATTTACTAAAGAAGATATCAGAATGCAAGATAGCACACATTACTCAGGTGACAATACAATATAATACAATTGAAGTTAATAAACCAAATAAATTGAGAGAGAGTCCGAAAAGCCAAAGGTCTTACTCTAAGCAAGATGATACAATACGGCTGGGAGCAGAAATGAGCCAGAAGATCAAAAGGGGAGGTCAAGTGACTTACAGACAGCTTTTGTCTTTCCCTCTGAGCAGAAACGGTATCAGGGCAGCAATAGCCCTCGGTGTAAAGAGAAGTTGTTCTCTTCTGGGAGAGAAGTTCTCTTTACACTGCCTCAGCGTAAAGAGAAGTTCTCCTTCTCTTCTGGGACAGGTACCTGGAACTGGAGCATTAACTCTTAAATCCTAATGCACTACATGATGTTATACTGCAGAATACTGATAACAAAAAATCATAAAGCCATGACACGGGAGATGTGATTTACCCGCTCAGTGCCGTGCTCTTTGGCCCAGGTATCATGAATCTTTTTTCATAAATGAGTCCAGTTGTCTAAGCCAGTTCTTTCTTGGGTGCCTTTAGCTGTAAGTCTTGCTTCTCAAGGCCCAGGATAGTGTTTTGGATAGTGGCACGGGGTGTAGGATTTGCTTCTAGCCACCTGGTGGTTACCTCCACCACTGTAAGCATGTGGTGCTTACTGTATCAGATTTGTTGGAAGTGTGATATCCATCAGCTCACCCCGTATTTATATTTCAGCCATTGTTCTACATACCAGAGAGGCTTTATCCACTTGGCTTCCTTGATTGAAGCACATTGTGCATTTGTGGATAACCTGTGCAGTAGTGTCCGTGGTCAAGTCTTCCACTCGAACGTTTGCATGTTTGAGCGAGCCCATTGTATGTTGCATCTTTTGCTAGGTGGCCTGACGTATGGTGGACCTATCAAGCTATAAAAAAATTCACCCTTATGTTGCCAGTGGAGATCTTCCTGAACCACTTCAATTTTAATAGCCCAATCCACCTGCTTTATATTTTGATGTTCTTCAGCGGCCCAACTCAGATATAGGAGCAGCTACATGACATGCCAGGCAGCAACATTGGAAGGCCATTTAAATGGCCTTCGCCTCTGCACATTGTCTTGATTCACTAAATTCACTTGATTCAATTGATTTACTAAATGTATATCTCAGTGCTCTTAAAGCATCATTCAGTTTTTTCCTTGGGCTGGAGAGCAGCCCCACTGAATAAGATGTGGGGCTCATCTGGCACACAATGATGAATTCTTCCTTAAAATGTTCTAAATAAAACTTAGGACACAAGAAACAACAGAGGCAGACAAGTAGGAGCACATTAGGAAGGAGCTGGGCAAACCAATTAGTATGATAGCGCTTTATCGCAATTGTCCAAAGAAAATTTTCCTTAGGTCTCATGAGATGCAGAATGGAGTTTGAAGTTGGGAGGGATATTTCTGCGCGAATAAATGAAGTAAATTGTTTTGTTTTGTTTTGTTTTGTTTTAAGTTAATTCAAATAATTAAAAATGAATAAAAACAACCAGGTAGAGAAAAAGTGCTGCCACTGTAATACTGCTTGAAGGAGAATTAGGTAAATTCCCTTGGCTTGTTTTTGACTATGATCCTGCTTTCTCAGGTGTTAACTATGATCCGTGTCCAAATGTAAAATCAGGAGAAAGAAGATCAGCATGGTGGAAGACTGATCCAGACTGATTAGAAATGACCATTGAGAAAGGAACGTTTGTAAAAGACCAAGAAGAACCTTTGGGACTTAATGGTGACGATGTGCTGTGTATCTGCTGCTGCGAAGAAGAGATGAGCAGTGTTGGCAAAGAATGGAGAGATGATAAAATAGGTATTCAGGCAAACAACTCAGTGGCTCTCCTCTGGATCGCTGTGAGCACGGTGGGCTAGTAAGGAGGGTTGAAGATTCAGAAATAGATGTGTTAGGAGGCTAGCTTAAGAGATGAAGTTGATTGATGAGATAGGAAAAGAGAAACTGTGTAGTGAACTAGACCAGCTGTCAGATCTAATTCAAACCTGCCCCAGGGCAAGTCTGGCAGGCATGACAGGACAAATGACTGCTACGGAGCTGGGACTGCCTACTTTGCCTGCCGTGCCAGTTAGGTGTGAATGTATATTTTCAGTGCAGCGATGGGTTGGTCATGGAAAGTGCTCTGCAGATGAGGGAAGACTGGGAAGAGAAGGCAGAAAGGGAGAAGGGATGCACAGAGCCCCCACAGAACAGTGGGAGTCATTTTAAAGTCAACTTCCTAGAAGAGTGGTTTGAGAAAAGCCAGACAGGACATCCCATTGGTGTTACGCGAATAGTTTCCTATCTCGGATGCTCTCGAAACAGTTGAACTGTCTCTAAACACGCAATTCAGTGGTGCTGGGGCTGGCTTGTGTTGCAGCGTTTAGCTACGCGGGGTGAAAGCCGCATTCCTGAAGTAGCTCCGAAGAAGCCTGTGAGTCAGGCCTGGCTGCAAGGGGCTAGACGTGGGGCTGTGCTGGCCTGCGATCGCCGCGCTGAAGGGCCGAAGCGTGGCTCTCAAGAGCGCTTGACTCGGCAGCCGAAGGGGACTGCACGGGGGCTGGCAGCTGCTAGATGACCGCCCGGGCTGCGACTGAACGCTCTGTAGCCCCGGGGCTTCCGGCGCGGGAGCTGGTTTCTCGTCCGCGTACCCCCACGCCCGGGAAAACAACAGGCAAGCGGCGGCGTTTCCGCGGCTTGTCCGCCGTTTGGAGCCGAGCCGTCCTGAACAGCGATCGCAACTTCTTTTGCCGACCCTCACGGCCGCACTGCTTTCTGGAAGTGGCCGTGTCCCCTCCGCTCCCGACAGCCGAGCCCGCTCGGCTCTGCTCCCGGCTTTTCCTTCGCGGCCGCCTGGAGTTTCCTTCCTCCGCTCCCGATTGTGGGACAGCCCGCCCCTGCGGGCTTTTCTTCCGGCCGCTGCCCCACGATCCCCCCTCCCCTCCCTGAGCGCGCACGTCCCCGAGCCGGAGAGGGCCGATCCCCCCTGTATTTTGCTCACAACCCCGCCTCGGCCTTTCTCTCGCCTCCCCCTTCTGCCCCCGGCCAGTCCCCTCCCTAACCCTCTTCCATCCTCTACATTAGACGGGAGTGCCCTCCCTCAGTCGCGTTCATTTCATACCAACTCTCATTCCACGCGTTCCTCACTCACTCCTTTCAAACTTCAGGGAAAATAAAAACCCTCGCTTTTCCGATCAACCTCCGGCCCGAACGCTGCCTCCCCTCGCCGCCGCGCAGTCTCGCCGTCCTGCTCGCCGCTCCGCGCTCTTCAGGTAAGTCGGCGGCACTCGGCCGGCGCCGCTTTGTGTGCTCCTGCTTAACTCCGGCCCGGCCGGCCAGGCCCGGCATTGTTCAGCCCGTCTCCACTTCCTGCCTTCCCGGGGACTTCGGGAAAGGAGAGTCCCGAGAATACGCTCTGGAGCCGCCTCGAGGGGAACCAGCCCGGCAACTTTCTTTCTTTCTTTCTTTCTTCCTCTCTGGCTCGCTGGTAACAATGCTGAGTGAGAAGCTGATCCGCTTCCCTGTCCAAAGCCCTGGGGACCCAGGGGTGGGGATCGAGCAAGGGAGAGAGGCATGTAGTAATCAGTTTTATGGCATGAAGTCCTGGAGCAGAAGGAGGATTTCAAGCTGGTCCTCACTGCCTCAGTGTAACAGCAGCTGCTCTTCCCTTTCTCAGGTCAGGACATGCTATTGCCCGATCTCTTTCCCGCGGGGTAGTGGGGAGTGAGTGCCTGCTGGAAATAAAGGGTAAAAGAAAGGCTTCGAAGTTGGTCACGTGCAACAGAGCAGATGTGAACGTACGAAGGAAGTGATCAGAAAATTCTCAACGGAGGCAACTGGTTCCTTTCCCCTTCCCGTGCCTGCGCAGGACTTTGGGAACTCTGCTGCTGGTGCATCAGCAGAGAACTGCTAACATTTCTCGTGGAAAAAATAGGTTTCTGCCTGTTTTATAGAGTTGATCTGGGGGGACAGTTAAAGGGAGGAACAGAACTTTTTGTAGTAAGGATATAAATCCTATTGTAAACTACGGAAAGTGCTTTGGAGTAAAACAAAATTAGCAGTAATCAGCAAAAAGCATCCATGGTATTACATGTGGGTTGTTATAATGCGTTTATGAAAAGATGAGGAAATAGTGTTTTCCTAGTGTTTTTTAATCAGAAGTTATAACACTTCAATTTTGGTGGCATGCTCCTGGAAAGGATTTTAAAACAAACAACCCTCTTCCCCCCTCTCCTCACCCCCCCCTCTCCCCCGCCCCCCTTCAAACACACACACACACACACACACAAGGAAAATACCAAGTGAAAACCAACCCTACTCTCCCAAGTAATCTTTTATCTTGTGCAGAATTTTACTTTGTTTTGTTTAGAATGAGGGAAAGAGTGCAACAGTGCAGCTCAAGTAGGTATTTTGTGGACTAAGTGAACCAATTTTTGTTTTGCTTTTAATTCAACCTGAAGTTATACTCCTGTTACTTTCTAACCTTAAGAGCAGAGTTCTCTAGGTCTGCTACAAAGAATCAACACAAAATAACTTTTTGAACGCATGGGGGATGGATGGCAGGAAAGATTTTTTTTTTTTCTTGTTTCCTATTACTTGGAACGGATCTGTTTCCCTTAGACTATATCCCACTATCTGTGTCCAAACAGTGGACTATTCACTTGTTTGCCCATCTGTCTGTGAAGGTGGAAGACATTTTATGTTTCCTTCTCCAGGAGGTGGGCAGTATGATGGGAAAGGAATCAAGTGAAAAGAAGAAGGGGGTGAAGTGAAAAGACGTGTTTTTTTAACCGGGCTAGGGCCATGATAAATCTGCTATACTATTGCTGATACAACTGAAAACTTTTGTACTTGATAGATTTTTCTCAGTATGGAGAAGTTTGAGCTGTCTTGTAATGAATACAGAGGATCTTCTTTATTAAGGCTGCTGGATGCCAAGGGTCTCTGGCACATATAGGACTCTTAGTTCACAGACCAAAAGGCAGCCAGCCAGTCCGTACAGTTACCTTGCAGAGTTTTTCTAAATCCTGGTCTGGACTATTCAAATTCGAGTATTTGGCAAGTCTATTATCTCTAAGCTGGAGTATCAGTTCATTGTTCTTGCCCCTTGAGTGACCGTGGGATGTATTAGTGAGCATGAGAATTTACTGTTGATAGTGGATGTTACAAATTTCTTTTCTCTCTTGTTTCCTGTTACATTTTTTTTTTTTTTTTTTAAACTTTGCTGATAGTTTTAAATTACTTCAGATTATTACTGTGGTGTTTTAATGTTCCTATACCATGGAACTTCTGGGGGAAAATGGCATAAGAATAGTAATGACAGACTCTTGATGAGAAAGATTCCAAGGTGCAGAATCTTGAATGTGGTTTAAGATAAAATAATGGTTTCTTTTGGTTCTTTTACTCAGATATTTGTTTCACAGAACTCAAATATGTTATGAAGGTCATTGAAAAGTACAGTTTCTCAAGTTGATACTTGAGATTATCTCTGGAATGACACAACTTATCTTTCTTAATATTCCATGCTTTATTTGGACTGATTCTTTTAGGTCTTGCTTTTATCACAATAGAATTACAGGAGTAGATCCACAAATACTGCAGGCTGGTACTGCTGAAGACAGAGCTGGCCTGCACAGACAGTCCATTTCTGTACTTGTCTTAAGTTTTTCCTTTGTGTGGGGTGGTATGTACGCAGACCCAAATCAGAAGAAACACTGTTTCAGCAAGCTAGTTTTCAGCCATACCTGTTCCCTAGACAAATTAATCATATGTACGTTCACATAAGTGGGGCTGTGTCTGGAGAAGTGGATACAGTGACTAGTGGGTTGGGTGTAAGAGAAGAATGGGAATGGTTTTCAAGCAACATTGTAGTTTTGTTGCACCTTGAGCTGTTGGACCATATTTATAATTTGTTACTGGTATAGTCTAGGGATACCTGTCTCATCTGGCCACACGGCTGTATCTTAAGAAAACAAAAATTCCATGTTACTTAATTATATATATATATATATATATACATATATTTATATCTTATATATATATATATATATATATATATATATAAGATCCTCACTCAAGCTTGTTCTTTTTTTTTTTTTTTTCTTTCTTCCCTCCCCCCCCCCCCCCAAATGTCATGCAATGATTCTTCTAGTAGTTTGGTTGGACAGCTTTTCCATAGCCCAATGTATTTTAAAATCAGTAGGGATTTCCTGAAATTTGAGCTAGTTTTTGTTAGCCTAATGCAATAGTTTTTGCCTTGGCATGTTTCTGTGAAATGATTGTTTTTCCCTCTCTTTTTGCACTTGCTACTTCTAAGTTATTACAGATTACCATTGAGACTAAATTTTTTCTATTTTGCAACATTTATTATTCTAGGTCTAATGATTATTCCTTGTACTAGTCATTTTATTCAATTAGTCTCTATGCCTTTTGCAGAATGATATGTGATATTCCACATGTTGGAGATGATTTATCTTTCTCTGTTGCCTGAAGTGACAACTGAGCGCAGGCAGACAAAAGTTATATTGGTCATTTTGTAGAAGAATGTGCTTTATATAAAAATCTCATTTATTCAGCTTTCTCACTCATTCATGTATTTAGCTCTTGCTTCTGCAGGTCCTTTTCTTTACTTGTTTTGTCTCTGTAGTTTTTTTTTTGTTGTTGTTTGCTTTATTTTTCATTTTTTCTTTTCTTGAAGTTGCTTCAATTTCTTGGCATTACTTTTTCCAGATAGTCTAATTTGTGTCCCAACCTTCTCCTTTTCCCCTCAACCAGTTCTCTTGTTTGAGCTGTCTTTATCCACTGTTTGTAAACTTAATTCTGTATCATCTGCAAGTTTAATTAACATTTTGTTTGTTCAGTCTTAGATCATTAATTATGATGTCAATGAAAACTGGACCACCTAAGATCCCTGCAGCAACACAGTAGATGTCTCCTGTGTTTGATAGTTCCATTGGCGTACATCATGACACTTTTGAAACATTCATTTTCTAGTAATATGAGCAGTACTATTCAGTTACCTAACTTGAATTAATTTTTCAACCATGATTTCCTTAGTGAGTAGCAAATGCTTTTCTAAATCTAAACTTAAAACATCGTGCATTTCCATTCTTTTTATTCTCTAATTCCGTGATAGTTCTATCCTCATTTGAAAAGCAATCAGGTTTATTAAGATTGAACACATGTTCACAAAGCCATGCTACTTAGTGGTTATGGTACACACTTTTTCTGCCCCAGCTTCTCCGTTATATCAATCAACATGCAAAATGCCCTACACCTGACTTCGTAGAGCCATGATCTAGGAAAGAGCCTGGTAAAAAGTTGGTAATTTGCCTGGATGGAGCTCATTATAAGATATGAGACTTAGATGATCAAAGAAGTCATTGTTTTTTTGTTGGTGTAGTAGGTTTTGATTGTTTTTTTTTCCCCTCTGCCCCGTGGGTCCTACTTTTTCTGGAGATGATGCAGTCACTCTCCTTTGTTTTTAACACTGTATGAATTACACATTTTCCTGCTAGGGAGGGGCAGGTTTTCCACTTCCCAGTGCTACTGTCTGAGTCACTGGCTCTGTTTTTCTGTTCCATTGTAGGTTTATGATTACCATGTTCTATCTTTGTTAGAATATGATTGCTAAAAGGTGTTTTTTTTTTCTGCTGTACTGAGACATGAGTGACAGTGGCTTGTTACAAACCCTTGAAGCATCTGCTTTGCTATTGCCAAAGGCAAGATAAATTAGCATAGTCCTCAATGCCTTCCTTCAAACGGGAGTAACCATTAATGACAGATGTCCAGACAAAATCTAATCTTTTGTAACCATGACTGCTGTACTTTAACTGAAGGAAAAAAAGTCAAGAGAGCACTGAACATGTGTATACTGAAAATGGAAAGGGAGGGACTTGCTGATGTTCATCTTGCCTGGTCATACTTCTTTGTGGCTAGGTCCATGACACCAACTACTGATACTGGCCTAGCAGGATTTAGAGCTTCTCTTGTTGTAAAAATGTTGTCAGTTTAAGGAAAAAAAAAAGAGAGAGGTGTGGAAGAGAGGTTTGCATAAGAAGGCTTTCTTTAAGCATACTGGATGCTTTAATTTATCTTTTTAAAAACAAAACACAATATTTATTTTCTGTTCCTTTATTATGAAAGATCTACACAAACAGAACAAAATAACTGTGCAGGGGAACAATGTAAATTATGTCTTTTATCCACAAGTAAGCTAACTGAAAAGTAAAGAAGTATCCAACTGGTTTTATAAGAACTTCTTTTAAAAAGT